AAAAAGGCCTTTTAGTGTTTTGAAGATTTTCCTTTTATAAGGCTTTGAAAAGCAGCACTACTGAAAATTTCTGCTTACTCCACCATGTACTTGAGCTGCAGACATTCTTAAAACAGTTACCTCTAGCAGGTTCAAAATCAAAGAAGAAAAATCTGCTTACCATTGTGCTCCAATTAATATTCTTATGAATGAAACGCAACAGTTTTTAAAAGCAGAACTAGGAACATTCTGTGATATCACCTTTCCAAACCAAAAAACCCCTAATACTCAAACATCACAATGTTGTCCATCATCACTTAACTCATTATGTCTTTCCACACATATAGCTGTGCAATTAAAATTGTAAGGATAATGTAGTAGATGTACATTACAAACTAGTTTTTATGCTGTCTTAGTTACTGATGCAGTGAATCAAGTAACAGTATTACCCTCTGCAAGTCTTTGTCCTGGTGGGTTTTCATTTGTTTTTTTGTGACACTAGTTGAGCTTGAGAATTCATCTTATCAGCCTGATATCTTGCCTCATCTTTGCTGGTATCTTGACTCTCTAAGGCAGGAGATGTGTTCCCCACAGCATGGTTCACTGGGTAGGGTCAAGAACAAGGACAGCTTTTGTAATTGTTACTTTCCCAAGGCAGATATGCTCCACCGTGCAGGACCACAGCTGAGCTCTGCGTGGGCAAATGAGCGGCTGCCGTGGGAAGTTCAGCCAACAGGCCTCAGCTTCTGTCTGCCTAAAGGTGGATGTGAGAGGAGTGGTCTGGCTTTGACGAGAACAGGACATACTGTTTCAGTAGGGTGTAGTGTTTATTTTTGCTCCACCATACCACTCTAGGATACCAATGAACCAAAAAGTGACTGGGCACATAATATACACTGAGCATAGACTTCCACAGCAATGGGATTAACCTCACCAAGATTAGAGTTGAGAGTCTTGGTTTACTAGCAGGTTCCCATGTTGCCCAAATGACACCTGAAAGTTAATGCCTAGTACAAGTAGTAGTATTTAAAAGTTCAGGGGGAAATTTTGGCACCATCCAAGCAAAAGCCAACTGACTTCCACGGGGCAGGGAATTTCACTCCTAGCCTTCCACACAGTGTGGTCCAAGTAAAAATAAGCAGCAGCACTACCAAAAATTCACACCAGTTGTGATGCTAGGACCTTTGTAGAACACCTCACAAGGAAAAAGAAGGAAATCTTTTACGTATGAGTAACTCATCACTGAAACCTGAATCCTTCATTCCCTTTCTTTCCTCCATCAGTGACGCTAGCACATTTTTGCTTCTCTTTTTAAACCCAGAGCCTTTTGTCTTGCTGTCATAAAGGAGGGAGCTGATACTGCTAGGCTTACAAAACAAAGGGTCAAGCCATTTGTTTTCATCTGCTGAAGAAATGTGGTCAGGGTTTAATGCGGTTGAGCTGGAAATCTTCCCTGGCTTCCTGCAGTGAGACCAGCTCTCCTGCAGCAGCAGACAGCATGGCCAGCAGGCTCCTTCCAGCACATTACACCAAGCCAGCTCCACCCTTTCTTCTTAAGCTATAATACTTACAGAATCAGGATAGTTTGACTGATAGACCCAATGAAGTGTCTACATCATAGATTCTCAAACAGAAGACAGCTCTTTAAAGGGCCTTAATCATCCCTTTTATTATTGTAGTGGAGATGTGCTTCACATCGTCATCCTCTTCACACCTTCTTCGGAGCACAGAAAGAGTCCAGTCCCTGTGGGACCCAAAGAGACAGCAGCAGCAGAGATGAGGCACCAGACAGGGGGTTTCAGTTCTGCAAGTACTGAAGGAGGAGGATTTTAATAGTCAAAAGCAAAAGTGAAAGTTTTCATTTTCATTTGAACAGAATATATTTCATTTTAATTATAATATGGGTTTCTTCTTCTGAGCTTGCTGTAATTCAGGATATTTCACACTGTTGTGAGGAGAAGTTGTAACCCATGACCAACCACTGGGTCACGGTAGGATATATTTCCCTAGAAATTGTCTCAGATGGGGTTTTTTTATCTTTTGTTCTCATACTATGAATTTTCATACTGTGCATTCAGCAAATTCAGATTTGTACTCAGTTTAAGGGCCCAAATAAATAAATTCCCACAGGTCAACAAATCTGATATGGTTATTATGTTAACTAAGCTCAGCATTGCCTGCCTTCATGCTCGTGGCCCACAGAGTTCTTGCAGCTCAGCGGACTCAGAGCAGCTCATTACACCATTGTAACTGGATCATGTAAGCAAGCCGTAACTGCAAACACTACTGGAAACGACGTGGTAAGCTGAGCTACCCAGCCCTAGGGATCTCTGCAGCCTGAGGACAGGAAAGACTGTTTAGACTGGTAGCGACGCTCATCCTCTGTCACCAAATCGTGCTGCAGACTGCAGCGAGCTACTTCAGTGTGAAGACTGACTTTTCTATCTACAGAGATATCAACATGGCATTACTTTTGACACTGAAGCTTTTGTGCACCTTACCCATGCAACTATTATGTCTGGCCTTTGATTCAATAAAATCTTATATGAATAAATTTTATTTCTCTTATGCACTCAGTCCATGATCACTTTAAACTAAACTTATGCATAAATGAGAGCAATTGTCACATGGAGTTGTCCTGTTACACCCTGATCAGCTTGCTGTTCCTTACATCAGGATACCCCCTGCCTTGTGCCAGAACAAACACTCACAAGGTCACAGAAAGGGTGAGATCAGGGAACTGATCAATAACAGTGGGGTTAGGATTTTTTCTGAATTAGCATTTGTGCAGCACTATGTAAAGCAAAAATTAAGTCATTTTCACACTTCATAAATGGGCTACACATATGGATGCGTACCTAAATCCGCTGCTGCATGGCTTACACGAAAGCAGTGGCATGCAATTTTAAGAGTCAGTTATTCTGTAACATCTTTCTCTTTCTAAAAGTCTGTTCTCTTCACATGCTTTATTACTGCCTTGCTCTGCCCTATATTTAGCTAATTCTTACATATCCTAATTTTGACCTGGATACAACTGTATATACACAGTTAACCCACAGTTACTCATACCTCCAGAATGGATCTTTCAAAACAGAAGAGGAAAAACACCTTCTCCCACATCACCCTGGAGACTCAGCTGGCTGAGTTCAATGAACAGGAGCCTGCTAGTTCAAAAACTGAGTGCAGAAACGTGTGCTCAGTGCAGAGATTCAATATTTGGCTGGTAATTGCCGTTGCAGAGGTCGATGATTTGAATATCAGGTGTCACAGGGGGCTGCTGGAATGGAAGCATCTCTGCTAGCATGAGCTCCAGCCTCACACTCAGTTCAGGTGTGAGTGCTGAACACATGCAGAAGCAAGCAGGGATGGAGAGCTGATAAGGTCCCACCTAACAAGCAGTGACTGAATAGGTATAGTGAATGTATCCAGCTTGAATTTATAAAGTATTACAGTAATTTTCTTCCAATATTAAACCTAGACACAGTCTGTTTGACCAGGACTGCAACCTCTCCATGGCAAAATTGACAAAGGCTGAAATGTTGATCTTAAGTTATAGAGCAGAGAAGACAAATTGCTAAACACTGTCCTGCCAAAGGGGACTCTCAGGTAGCTCAGCACTGATATTAATCTATTTGACTGAATGTCTGGCCCTTCACTCCTTACAGTAGGAAACCTGTGCAGTGAAGAACACAGTATCTCAGGGTTGAAGAACACAGTATCTCAGGGTTGAAGAACACAGTATCTCAGGGTTGAACAGCAATACACTTCAGTACACTTTGAAAATTTCTGTATTTCTAACTACTTAATGATCTGTCATTAGCGGAAGTATAGTTGAAACTTCAGTGCCTGGAATTTCTATGTGTAAACCCAAAGATGGAGGGACGTTCTCTAAATCACCCTTGGTTTGACTTCAGATAGTCTTTTTTATTTGACTACAGTTTCAATTAATTAATGTGATATAGCACTTTGATTTAAATATCTGCCTGTATTTCTTTTGTAGTCAAACTACATTCCTTTTTTAACCATTCCAGGACCTAAGTATATGATGGATTTAAATACAGTTACTATGCTTTTTAAACTGTAAATGCAAGTTTGAATTCTCCTTTACAAATGTTAAAGATAACTCAGTACTAAAAATACCAAATGTCACATTTTGCACTTTTTGGTACAAAAACATTGATAATACATAATACAAGAACCATACATCATTAATCATATACATGTCAGTGCCAACAATCATCACAAGATCAAAGCATCCAAAACAAATAAGAATTCAGATTTCGCATGAAAGGGAGGAGGAAAAAGTGTAACCATACAGGCCATATAAACAAATACATGGGAGAGAAAGAACCAAAAGAGGATTGCTTTTGATTCCTTTGCAAAAGCTATCCAAGGAGGAGGGAAAAGGTGATCCAGCTAATTCTTTGTGCAAAGATAATGAATAAAGGACTTTTCCTGTATTAGTTGTTAGGTCAAAATTATATCAAGCATCATGTCCAAGGAATCAGACAATTTTTAAACTACAACTCACAGAAGCAATAATCAGATACTTTAAACCTTATTCTTTAACTAAATAATTTCATTTCCCCCTCAAAAAAAAAAAAGTTCGTTTTATTTGTTAATTACATTCCTCTACACAAAGTAACCCTTGTGTCTTCCTATTAGGTTCATACCTATCTTCAAGCACCAGTGAACCCAGCCATTCACTGGGAACAAAAGCACCTACAGTTCCAGCTTTCATTGGTGGTTTCTTTTTTCACTGGACATAAGCCAGACTCAAACTGTTTAAGGGGGGAAGTATCAGACACACATAAGCCACTATTTATTTCCAAACCTCATACAAGACACCTGATACAAGCCAAGATGAAGAGAAATCCAAGGATTCAGTGTATAAGCATGGGAACTCACAAGAGCAAAAGTTGGAAGGATGGCAAAAAAGGAAGGGGGAGGGTGGAGACACGTGAATTTGGTTTTCAGCTAAAAGGTTCTTCTCATTTTTTTTTCCCAGGTGAATGTGCTGTTGTTGCTACACAGAGACCTGAGCTGCTCAGGTGTTCTGTGCTTAAATCACACTGATTTTTAACTAACCAGTTCAAGAAAAAGGACCTTCCACCAGGGGAACTGATTGCTGCTGGTGAGCAAGTATTTCTCATTCTTAACTTTTCTTTAGTACAGCAATGAGGTTTGGTTGACAAACACATTACCAGCCTAGTTATACAAAAAAGGCAAATGACAGATGCTTAGAGATTAGCTAGCAAAATGTTTGTTCTGGCAGAGAGATGAAGGCAATCTATATGGTGTTGGCTGTCGTTATTTCTCTTAATCAATTAACAAATGTTGAATAATGTAACATCAAAAATTCAGAATATTGAATTTAATCTGCCTCCAGCTACAGCTTCATAAATTATCCTTATAAACCCTACTGGTTTTCAATACTATGATAATCAATTATTTAAGCTTCAGATAAGTAATCCTGTGACTTGAAGAGATTTACACTTTGATTTTTTTATGAATACATAATGAAAGGATGAACTGATTCACGCATTCCATGACTGGTTTATAGATACATTATCTAGTGTAATTTCAAAGCTATAACTGTTTATGTTGAAACAGCATTTTACCATGTTAATATAAATGTTAGTTTTTATTGTTAACATCTGATAGGTAAACTGATACTAAATATAGTTATCAACTTTCATATGGAGTCGCTACAAATACTCAATCATTAAGAGTATGGTAGTAGGGGGTAACAATCTGCTTTTGTTGACTGAAGTTAGAGGTCTGCACAAACATGGGGAAAATTTGAATGAAATTTTACTACCAAAAAATCCTCATGCCCAGGTTTAACTAAAAGTTTTAGTCTCTCCTTAGGAAACCCTGGAAAACTTCACATTTTTTTTATTCAACATCGATAATCTCCAATCATCAAATTTTTTTTCATAATTAGTAAGCTCCAAAGGAGACTCCTTTCTAAATCTCAGTCAACAATAGCTAACATGAAGGAGTCTAAGGAAACAAAGGACTGGAATTGTGATGCCATGTGGAAGGAAAGGGAATTGCTGTGGACAAGACTGAGGAGAAAAATGTTATAATGAATGTATTAATCGTTTTAGGAATCTAGGGGTATTTCTTCAGAAATATAAGATTCTTACTACAAGATGGTACTTATTTTTTTCTAAAGTTTTGCACATTTTAAACATGCAAATTGCTGTCCAGTCACTGGAATAGAATGCTTTTCTTGTATTGAGATTGCCAGTTACTGAAAGTAGAGTTTTAATCTGTTCACTATAAATTCAAATGTGAACAGTGATGTTGAGAGATTCATTAAAGTGAAGATAATAGTTGCTGCACTTTCCATGCACCTCTGTCCTAAGAAGCACAAAGCAACTTATTTTGCCAGTGCTCAGGTCTGTAATTCCATACTACATATCACTTTTAAATTCAAGTTTGAAATTTTCTTTATCAATACAGGCACAAGTGCTTTGGGAGACCATTTTTTATTTATTTATGACAGAGCATTTTCTCAACAGGTCATCCTGGTAACTCTTAAAGCTCAGCCTCTGAAAAGTGGAATCTCCAGTGAGAACTGAAAAGCTGACTGGGTGGTATCCTGGGCTGCATGCATTAAGTATTTTAACTTAGTTCAAACCATCAGGTATCCACCTGAATATCAAAGTTTTAATGCCTAAAGATGATTGTAACAGGCAGAAAGAAGACCTATCAATTAAAATTTTGGCTTTCTAATTCTTTTCCTCAACCACTGCTTTTGTTCTCTGACCATTATCAAGACCAGAAGTTACTGAATCTATTATAATGTTCTTTGTCAGGAAGAGAACCAAACATCTTCAGAATACCGAAACAGCCAGGAGCACAGATGGATTGTTTTATTAAGCAGGAGTTAAGCTGAAAATCAGTTTATGAAGAACGGGGAAATTTTTAATTTTCATTTGTGAGAAACAGCTGGAATATTCTTTGGTGTTTATCTCACAGTCTTTAACATCCTGGTTCACAGACTGCAGGCTAAAACAACAATGGCAATTTCAACATTCTGGAGGGATTTGCTGATTGAAAATGTATTATATCTGGAGGCAAATATTTGTCAATTTTCCTGTTTTATTAAGGAGGATATCATGAGACATCTTTTGACCAAAAAACCCACTATCCATAAAAAAGATCCCATGCTGTTACCTTTCACTGAAATGAAAAAACTAACAGAACAAACAATTAGTAACACTGTCTTGAAATTTTCATGATCCAGTATTACACCACTGTACTAGTTCACAAGACTCAAATTCTGGGTGACCAGAAATAAACTGAAATGAACTTTGTTCCCCTGATCACACTGTAGTGAGAACCATCTCCTGAAGCCCAGTTTTGACAGCTGAAGGCAGTGTTGCATGACAAAATTAAGCACCTCTATTTTGCACTTTTCTCAGAAAGGCATTTCTAGAAATAACCAAAGCTGGCTCTGTACTATTGTTAGGATACCACTAGCACATTGATTTACACTGCACCAGGTGACAAATCCATGTGACTAAAGCTGATGCTTTGTTTTCCAGTTTCCTTGCTGCATTGAAAGGGAAATAATGCTCCATTCAACATTGGCCTTGTCCCTCCTGCTAATTGCTGTCTCTTCCAACCTTGCGATGGCAATCAAAAAGGAAAAACGAGCACCTCAGACACTGTCAAGAGGTACTGTATATTTACTGTATGTAGCTACCTCCTTATCTTACCGAATAAGTCAGCAAATATTTTTTAGATTGTACATGGAAACACATATATACTTATCAAGGTGTGTTTCTCTAGTGTTAAGTGACAATAAGTAGTGCATCTTCTTATTCTGTGCTGTTTCACTTTCTCACTTTGTTCTTAAGGATATGGCTGTGGGCCTCGTATAACCTGCATAATTTATATAACTCACAGTGACCTAGTAGAAGCAAATAATCTAAACTGGTCTCTCAAATAAGATTGCACTTGTAGGACTATCAGTGAAAAAAACATTCTTGCATATATCATTTAAAAGATATTTTATTGTGGTAACTTATTAACTACTGAAACACAGTTTCATAACTTCAGTTGCTATGGAACAATTTTTTTACAGACCCATTTTTATACACAGAACAGTTTGAGCTACTGGTAGGTTTGTCTGTGTGACTTTTTTTTTGCTATTGCTTTTCATCAGATAGTCACAGTCATGCTTTGCAGTGAATAATTCACTTACTTGCAGCGCATAATTTTCAACCTGGATGTTAACTAAAGGACCTATTTTAAGTTATTTATGTCTGATCGAACTTTAGAAATACAAGTGGAGAAACAGCTTTCTAAGGTCTTTTCCTTGCCTCCCTCTTCCCTCTCCTTTCAGGCCTATTGACCCCAAAAAATCTCCAGCTCCCTTCCTGACCTCTTCTGCAAGCTGTGCAAAGCCTGCAGACCCCACAGCATGCCTCTCAGGTGTTCCCACACGAAGCACTGACAAAGCCCTGCCCATCACAGCGGTCCCATCTGAGCAGAGTTGCTCAGGGAGCACTTGACAAAAATCATGCAACACCTGGACTAACCAGAGAGAAATTGCAAATCACTTCTCATAAGTGGTATATCCCTGGAGAAAGCTATTGCCTATCTTGCCTAGATCTGGATTTATCTTCCCGCTAAGCTTAAATGCATAAAAAGATAACAAAATCCCTTCAATTCTGGAAATTTTGAAAAAAAAGTCACAGAAAGCAAGTGTCAGTTTTCTCGTTCTGATTTCAGGCCTTTTGGGGTGCCTTGAGCCCTTTACCTGTAATTTTCGCAGACCGAACCTGCTACAAAATGACCATTGCTGACTCCTTTGTGCAGTCACCTGCCTCAGCTGCTGACTTCGGCCAGGGCTGGGAACACACTGGTCGACACACTAGAATCCCACCACCAACCAGACAGATCACTAATCGAAATCACGCTCCTGAAAGAAGAGATGACCTTGTAGTGTCAGAAGCAATTGTCCCATAAAAATGCTAATAGCAAATCTCTGCATAACCAGGGCTGGTCCAAGCGCTTTTTCAGACAGTGCAGAAGAAACAGAGCCTTAACCTGGTCCAGATCCAGAAGCTGTTCTACAATTCACGTGAGGGCCTTCGTGAATGGAGCCACACTGCCTGGGAGGCAGAGACCTACTACACAGGGACTGGCATCTTTGGGATCTGAAAGCATGAAACCAACTGGACAATTTGTTTTTTGAGATCAGTGTATCACCAGCTATGGATGAGCTATGAAGATGATGATTCATTACGATTTTGTTTCGGTGGAGATTTTTATTTAACAGCCATTTTTAAATTAAATTATTTAAATAAAAGCAGTACTTGCAACTCCTGGGATTCAAATGCATTACTCTGGAGTTAAGTTTATAACCCAAGACTGTTCTAACAACATTCATATTAAAGTTGATCTTATTTTAGCTGTCTTTTTATTTTTCTCTCTTTTATAAGCCAACTTTCTCTTTAAGCCCCAGGGTCTACATGAAATACAGAGCAGACACTATAAACATATAAAGGATTTGGGAACCTCTAAGTATTTAGAAAGATATCTAACAGGTTTGCCAAAGGACTTGAACTGGATATGCAAGTAGCTGAGGTTTTGGGGGGGTTCGCTGATTTTTGTTTTTTTAATCTTTCAGTGCACCTATCAGGAGATGTAGAATTAGCATATCCACAACATTTGGGAACCTTTGACTAAATAACACAAAACCTTTTTCTGTACAAATATTGATAAATATATAAAAAAAAAAAAAGAATTTGTTATGAGTTACTTGTCTGGCTGCCACTTAATCCTTTTGTTATATTTCTAGGGTGGGGAGATGAAATTACCTGGGTACAAACTTATGAAGAAGGGCTTTATCAAGCGAAAAAAAGGTAAGAGATTAAAAAGTAGTTTGAAAGATAAAGCTGTTAATCAGTCATGCCTGAATATACTATAATGAAACAGAACAAAGAAACACCATGACAACTGATCTGCAGACCACCCAGTTAAATAAAACAGATTTTTTTGTCTATAAGTAAAAGCCATTGTAGGAGTCTTATAACTGAAGAAACATCATGGGCCGATAGTTTAACACTGTTATTTCTTTCTCACAACAGCAGTGCTGTAATTTGAATAAGCAATGATAAATAGATACTATAATTTTTAAAATACCTCTGTTGTGTGGGTTTTTAATATCGTGTACCTCTGATTGCTCCCTTAATCAACAGGTGGAAATCAGTTACATTTTCTCTTGCATGGTGATCTACTATCTCTGATGTTTCCCCCAACACTGTTAGTTGGCACATGTTCATGCTGTACTCATAGTTTCTCACTAATGTTCTCTGGGACTCAGCTGAAAATATATCTGAAAGTTCATAACAACTCTCTTTCACAGTTCATTTTAGATCATAATAGTGTAGTATGAGCTACTGTTAAATTGAGGATACATTATTTTTAAAATTAAAGGCAATTGATTTCATGTACCCTATGTAAAAATGGCTAGGAACTGGATAATTCTTGACAGTGATAGCAGATCAAGCATTAGTAATTGATTTACTGAACAGTAACAGTATTTTTAAGAAAAATATAGGATAAAATTCACAGAATTGTTTTCTGTTTTGACATCCAAAGTATAAAATTTTATATCTTACAAAACTATTTACAGAAAAAAAAATAATTTACTATATATCCATTCAAGAAAGCTTAAAAATCATGAAAATCTTCATAAGAGTAGTATTTGATGATAAACCCAACTTTATAAAAATTATTTTATTCCAGTTCATACAGATTATTTTTATCTTCTTAATCATGGAGAGCTTCACACCTAACCAATATTAAATAACTCTTCAATTTGATTATGTATCAACTGGGACAGAAATGTTGTTGTCTCTGTTGTTTCTTTTAGAACCTCTTACTTTAGAAAACCTATTTAGATATAGAAACTCTATTTCTCTATTTATTTGTGTTCTGAAGGTGTTATGTCCTTTTCCTTGCTCAAAAATGTCTGTCATTCTTTACAGAATGTCTGTATGGTTTTACAGCGGGTTAACATAAGATTAAATGTAATTTGTCTTTACCGGTCTGCTAGTAAAATCACTCATTTGCATACTTGTCAAATGACCTAACTACATGTTTTATTATTGTTATTAAAGTAACAAGCCACTGATGGTAATTCATCACTTGGAAGACTGTCAATACTGCCAAGGTAATTTTGATTTTTTGAGTATTAAAATTATGTGAATATTTTTATAAGAAACTGCATATATCTATATATTTACCTTACATCTACTGAAAATTATTTCAAGAAATAGGTAAATGAAAACGTACTCTAAAAGCTAAGAATTTACTACTGGTATTTACAAAAACTTCACTATGAAACTACCCAACAAAAATCATGAAAAATACTCAGTTCTGCTCTTCTACTATCCCTAATGCAGCACTCGTCAGTTTGAATTAAGGGACACCGATTTGCTTCTGACTCACTGAACAGATTTAATATTGTTTGGCTTCTCCTGAACTGGTAACTAGAGAAGGAGATGAGGACGGGCTGCTGAAATTGATCTAATAAGAATTTTCTGAGAATAATGCACTTTTGTCAAGCTGAGGCATGGTAGCCATTGAGACGACAGGCTTCAAAAATAACAGGAGAGAACTTCCATTTTCATAGTTGGGAGGTTGTACTGACATGGGTCAAAAAACAAAATGCAGTGATAGAGCCCTTAAGTGTCTCCTCAGGAATGTGAATCAGCAGAGGCAGGAACAATGTGGTCAATCTCCAGTTAATGTGGTGTCTAAACACAGAAGGAAAGGCAGCATTTGAGATGGACTTCAGAATGATCATGTCTTTTCTAGCACTGAAGAAAGCTTTTGCAGAAAATGAAGAGATACAGGAAATGGCCCAAAATAACTTCGTTATGCTGAATCTCATGGTATGAAGGGCTTGGGGTGGTTTGATATATTTTTTTAGCCTGTGTTTTCTCTTTGTCTTCCTTTTTCATGTTATTTTAGCTAAATATCTCTGGCATTTCAGTTACATGTACAGTACAGGCATTTGTGCTTGTGTATCCACACACAAGTAATACTTCTTTGGTTTTGTCCTCTGGTACAAGACTATTCACAGTTGCTATTACTTCAGTAAAATTTACAGAAATATTTTAATAACCAGCTTTAATTCCTCTGCCAGCATGAAACCACAGATAAAAACCTGTCACCTGATGGACAATATGTACCTCGAATCATGTTCGTAGGTATGTACGATATTTATGTATCTTCATAGTTGTGATATCTGAATCTATGCTACTGTTCTTTGGGGACCTCAAAATCATAGAATATCAGATTGGAAGGGACCTCAAGGATCATCTGGTCCAACCTTTTTTGGCAAAAGCACAGTCTAGACAAGATGGCAAGCACCCTGTCCAGAATCTTAAGTGTCCAGTGCTGGGGAATCCACAACTTTTCTGGGGAGACTATTCCAGTGGCTGCTTGTTCTCCTGGTGAAAAGTTTTCCTCTTGTGTCCAACTGGAATCTCCCCAGGAGTAACCTGTACCCACTACATCTTCCACGTGACTCCTTGTAAAAAGGGAGTTTCCATCTTCTTTGTAGCCACCCTTTAAATTCTGGAACATAGTGATAAGGCATCCACCTAAGCCTTCTCTTCTCAGCACTGAACAAACCCTGTTGTCTCAGCGTTTCCTCATATGGCAGGCTTCAGACCTTAGATTCATTCTGCAAAAAGAATGAATCTCAAAATTTATCATTACCATGACATTATTGTGGAACTAGGAAGATCTGAGTTCAGTTCTTCCTTTGTTGCAGGCTTTGATCCTCATAAACTTCCTCAGGTTAAGATATGTTCTGGAAGGTATTTAATTTGTGCCTGGTGGCAAGATGTTTAAATATGTGTTAGCATCTGGGCTTTTGCTCTCCATGCTTCTTGCTAGTGTTGTTAGAAGAGAAAGTTTACTGAAAATAGTCAAATATCTGACTAAATGTAGATGTCTACAGTGTGGACATTACCACAGAGCAAGTAAACAGTCAGTGGCATCTAATGATTTATCCCATCGTAAAGGTGACTTCTGGAATAGATTAAATGAATCATGTCCGTAGTGCCTGTTCCTTTTCACTGACTCTACAGGGAGCCTAGAATGACTAGCTGTGTGGTGGCATCCAGAGCTAGGTGAGATGAAGCCCACACTCAGACAGAGAGCAATGTAGTAACAGGAGTCAGTCAATTAACAGAAAGCTTAGAAGGGGAGCTGGGAGAATAGATGTCCACAACAACTTGCTCCCATGATGAAAACATTAAGAATCACAAGATTTTCATTCTGAAGGCTCTAGGTAGGTCATGCTAATATTGCATTAGGTACACATGACCCTCACTATGTGTGCATCCAGTCAAATTGGCCTCTCCTGATGTAATCGGGAAAACTTGTAAAACAGGATATTTTTCTTTAAATACAGATGAAATGCATGTGTAATCTATCACTTAAAAACAGTTGCATAATATGAAAATGAGCATTAGCTTTTGTTCAGGATTTCTCCAAGTAAAAAGCAGTCATTTGGAACAGAGCGTAACGGCCTCCTAATTGCCTCATTGATGAAATCAGAATACCTCAGAAACAAGGCTGTCAAAGTAGTGCCACGGACATTGCCCTCAGCTATTGTGGGAATAGAAAACAGTGTTTAATATGGTTATTTTTTCAGACCCATCTCTCACAGTAAGAGCTGATATCACAGGAAGATACTCCAACCGGCTTTACACTTATGAACCACAAGACATACCATTTTGTAAGTGCCCCCTTTGTTGTGTTACTTTACATTTCATATTCTAAGTAGCCAGATACACCCAGTCCCAATCATTTGTGCCCAAGAATCTGTTAAGAAGTCAAAGTAATGAATAAAGACCATGTGTGAGTATTTGCAATGAATTATAATAGTATAACGTGTTCTAGCAAAACACTTAAGCTCACCTATTGTCCCACTGAATTTATTGGGACTACTCAGGTAAGACAAATTGAAAGATCATGGATGAGAACTTTCAGGATCAAGAACTGAGCAGTTTGCTGTTGAATGGTGAAAGTCACTACACTCAAAGGTATCAAGCTGCACAATGTAAACAGCCAGTGGTGGGAGGGAATCTTTAAAGAAATGCTGGTGGTTACCTGGGTACCACTTAACACCAATATTTCAGAAAGGAATGTGAATTTTCAGGTTGAGCTAGTCCTTACTCTATACCATCTGACACCAGTGCAGTATCTCACCACAACTATGCACGTCACATCTGATTACCAGACTTGCTGTTGAGAAATAAGGGAGTTAAAGGGACTTGACAAGATTCCTTTCAAGTTAAACATTTTGATTCATGAAAATTTTTACTTTTTGCTTTAGTATCAATGCCAGAATTTTCACAATAGAAAGGTCTAAAATTTAATGTGTGACCGTAAATTAATTCCAATGTGAACAATTTACTAATCAAACTAGGTGGGTTTTTTAATTGCACAAATGCACTTTAAGTACATTTTTACAGTTCTTATTTATTTTTGTTTCAGTAATAGAAAACATGAAGAAAGCACTGCGCCTCATTCAGACAGAACTGTAACCAGCAACAGTGAAATGACCATAGCCTCTACGAGGTGAAGCTGCACTAGGAAACTTCACATTTTAAAATATATTAGTTAACCTCTCTGTCTCTACTAGCATTTTGAACTCTTACCAAACAGCTTTGGTATATCAGATTTCGTAAGAAATTTACATGTACAATTTGAAGAATAAACATAGAAAGACTATCATGTCCATTTGGAAAACAAAAGGAGAAATCTATTAAAGACTGAAATCAGTTATCTGAATAATTGAAAGTGATGGTTTAGGGTGCAGCAACTTTGAGCTTTATTTTATCAATCCAACTATGACCTTAAGTCATCCATGACTTCTGATCAAGAGTTATAATGAATCTTTTTGATGTCTATTTGCAGTTTCCTATATAATAGATGCATCTCAGCTCCTAATTTTTATTTTTATTGCAAGAAGCTTGTAAATTGCTAGTGTAACTCCAGTGCAAATTTATGTACTTATTTCTCATTAAAGGAAAAGAAACTTTGTTAGTAAATCAGTTAGGATGGCTCTTCCTACAGATTTTGGATTAGTTTTTATAGAAAAAAATCGGCAATCTGGGCTTAGCTTTCTTCTGTGTAATTCTTTAACTATCATTCTGATAGCTGAAAACAGAACAGACATTTCACACTAAGCATGTGGTCTCAGTGAGGTGATAATCATCAAATAGCAACTACAGGTTTCGCTATGATAGAAACACAGTGAAGCAAGAGAGATCAAAAGAAAAAGTCCCAGAACTCCACACCTGAGGCCAAGTGATGCTTGTAAAATCTGGTATGGGAAAAATTAACAGGCTTGTCCTAGCTCTTTTCATTTAAATGGCACTTGAGTCATATGAAGCTCATCCCATGTCATTCCTTCTTTTTCTGTAGCACCCCAACCCAGACATCAGAGTGGCAGCTTAGTGTGGGGACCTGTACATACAAAGTCTTCATAAATTTTCCCCAGGGTCACCAAATACAAGGGCAGACACCTGTTTTAAGCAAAAAAGTGAAGGCAGTTGAAATAGTTTGTCATCCTAGCAATCTGCTTTTTCATTAGAGCAAGCTAGTAAGCGATTCCTCTGCAGTAAGAGCATGTATGTTATATTACATGCTAAACACCAGCGTCACTTGTTTGTGCTACCTGCCATTTCCTATGATGCTGCATTTATACACATATAAAAGATGAAGGAAGGATCTTTGCAGGACAGCTTTGCTAATTTGAAATACCTTGTATTAATTTGTCATGAATGAGTTATATTGCACCTATCTGTCTTCATAATTATATAACTTTGAATATAAGTGTATATTCTAACAGTGGTGATAAAAGAGGAAAAAATTCCTGTATTAGCCATTAATAATATATTGTCTTCATAATCAGTTAAGTGATTTTTTTAACCTATGAGAGAATGTTAGAAACAAAATTAAACTGGCAATCACATTCCTTTGAGTTGTGTTTAGCTCTACTCTTTTATGTCCATATCTATTTCAGATTTGGCAACATTTCCTGGTCTGTGAGCATACCCTCTTTTGAGCAAGCCAGAGATGTTCAGGAGAAAAGGATGTGAGCTAGCTGCCAGAGATGACAGGATATCCAAGGCAGCACTTTCAAAGTAGGGTGGAGAGATTTATTTCAGGGTGAAGGATAGCACGAAATAACTTTTGAAATGCTTAAGTATGGTAGATTCAAAATATTACCAAAAAGAGTAGGTAGAAAGTGGTGGGTCTTTCCTGTCACATTGCAGGGAATTTTTTTCCCTCTGTACATTCACTTCCAACATCAACTGAGATCATGGGAAACAATGGCTTGAAACGACCTTCTGCTCTAACTCAGGCAGGAAAACAAATGTGGGATAGTTACACTATCAGCCAAGGCCTGATTCACCTACTTAAGATTCAAAAGACTAGGCTGGAGGCTCTGGGTGGATATTTGAGGGAAAGCTGCACTTGTGGAAGTATTTGCATGGCTATGCTTTCACTGCAGCGTGAAATAGAATTTTTCTGTTTCAGATATGAAAAGCAGCTGCAAAACAGAAATGTCATCCCTTCAACTCTAGTAACTACATCTTTGTCCATGGTATTCTTGTTTCCTTGCCTACTAGTACTATTCCATTAATTGCAAAGATGACAGTGTCTGCCATGAAAGTCTACTCCCATGGATTACCCTAGTCAGTCCAGATATTCCATCAGCCTTTCAGTAAAGGAATAACATCCTTACATACACAGAGGCTGAAGACGATAAATACGCTGAGGGATCCTTTGGGATTATACAGTGGATTATGCACTTTACCTCTTCTATCCTGTTAAGTAGATACATGCACATGTATACAGACCAAACCCAGGGATGATGTCTTTTTTTGTGCTGATTGCTGCCACTCCTTACTCTGAAATGTTAATATATTTTTATAGAAAAGAGAGGGAAGGCACAGACGCAGTCTGATGTCACACCATAAGAGCTCAGGGGGATCTTATTAATATATATAAATACCTGAAGGGAAAGTGAAAAGAGGACGGAGCCAGTCTCTCTTCCGTGGTGCCCAGTGACAGGACCAGAGGCAGTGGACACAAAGTGAAACACAGAAGGTTCTGTCTGAACATGAGGAACTACATTTTTATGGTGAGGGTGACTGAGCACTGGGACAGGTTGCCCAGGGAGGTTATGGACTCTCCACCCTTGGAGATATTCAAAAGCCACATGGACATGGTCCTGGGCAACCGGTTGTAAGTGGCACTGCTTGAGCAGGGCATTAGACCAGACGACCTTCAGAGGTACCTTCCAACCTCAATCATTTTGTGAAGTCAGCAGTCCCAACTCAGTGGGATTATTTAGATGGATTTATAATTTAGCTGCTCCATAACCTTCCCTGGCACCGGTGTCAGACCAACAGGACTATAGCTCCCTAAATCTTTCTTCCAGACCTTCTTGTAGATGGGCATTATATTTGCTAACCTCCAGTCAACTGGGACCTCCCTGGTTAACCATGACTGCTGATGTGTGATGGAAAGTGGCTTGGTGAGCACTTCCACCAGCTCCTGCAGTACCCCTGAACAGATCTCATCTGGCCCTTAGACTTGTGTATGCCTAAGTAGCGTAGCAGGTCGCCAGCTGTTTCCCCTTGTATTATGGGGGCTTCATTCCGCTCTTTGTCCTTGTCTTCCAGCTCAGGGGGTTGGGTACCTGGAAAACAACTGGTCTTACTATTAAAAACTGAGGCAAAGTAGGCATTAAGCATCTCATCCTTTGTCACTGTTTCCCCCCTGCATCCAATAAAGGATGGAGACTCTCCTTAGCTCTCTTTTGTTGTGAAGGTATTTACAGAAATATTTTTCATTGTCTTTCACTGCAGTAGACAGATTAAGTTCTAGCTGGGCTTTGACACTTCTCATTTTCTCCCTGCATAAGCTCGTGACATCCTTATAGCCCTTCTGAGTGGTCTGCCCCTTCTTCCAAAGGTCATAAATTTCTTTTTTTTTTTTTTTTTTCCTTTTCCCCTGAGTTCCAGCCAAATCTCTCCATTCAGCCAGCCCAGCCATCTTCCCTGTTGGCCTGTCTTTCAGCACATAGGGACAGCCTGCTCCTGCATCACTAAGATTTCCTTCTTGAAGACTGTCCAGCCTTCCTGGACTCCTTTGCCCTTCAAGACTGCCTCCCAAGGGACTCTGACAACCAGACCCCTAAACAGGCCAGCATCTGCCCTCCAGAAGTCCAAGGTAGCAGTTCTGCTGACACCGTTCCTTGCTTCTCCAATATCATTTTGTGATCACTACACCCAAAACGCCCTCCAGCTGTCACATCACCCACAAGTCTTTTTCTGTTCACAAAAAACAGGTCCAGCAGGGCACCTTCCCTAGTTGGCTCACACACCAACTGTGTCAGGAAGCTGTCTTCCACACATTCCAGGAACCTCCTAGACTGTTTCTTCTCTGCTGTATTGTATTTCCAACAGACATCTGGTAAGTTGAAGTCCCCCACAAGAACAAAGGCTAGCAGTTGTGACACTTCTCCTAGCTGCTTATAGAATATTTACCTCTTCATCCTGGTGGGGTGGTCTGTAACAGACTCCCACCATATCTGCCTTTTTTGCCTTCCCCCTGATTCTTATCCATAAACACTCAACCCTATCATCATTAAGCTCTAGATAATCAAGACACTCTGTAACACATAGGATTACACCACCACCTCTCCTTCCTTGCCTATCCCTTCTGAAGAGTTTACAGCCATCCATTGAAGCACTCTAGTTGTACAAGTCTTTCCACCATGTTTCCATGATGGCAACTGTATCATAATTTTACAGCTACACAATGGCTTCCAGCTCCTCCCATCTGTTGCCCATGCTGCCTGCACTGGTGTAGATGCACTTCAGCTGGTCTATCAGTCCTGACACATTTTTGGGGGAAGAAACCATAATTCTTACATGATGATTTTCAAGTGCTTCCATGGTTTCTAACACATCAATAACCCTTGCGTCTTTGCTGCCACATGGATCTCCATTCCCTACTTCCACTGAGACAGCAGACCAAAGGACCTTGCTAGCACACTGTCCTTCAAACATTGGCCTGCTGACCCCAGGCTTATCTCTAGTGACCTTGTTTTTATCCCTTTCCTCCTTCAAATATAGTTTAAAGCTCCTTCCTGGTTTAGTAGATCAATTCATAAGCAAAGAAATGGCTGTCAAGAATCCACAAAGGTGTAATACCAAAAGGTTTGTGATCCAGGAACACAGTCAAGAACTTGACTGAGCTCAGGAATGCTAAATTCCATAGTCTGACTGACCTCAGTGCTTTAAGAGAAATTAAATGGCTGAATCATCACTTACTGGGATTGTGGAAGAAACAAATAATGCAAGCTCTGGGCCTAGAAGTCTACCGTTCTTCTGCTTATTTTAGGCATTTGATATTGAGCCAGCAGACAGAAAATAATTTATGTGAATTAAATACAATAATCTATGTGAATTAAATAAAATACTGTATTATAACAATTTTTTCAAACAATAAAATGATCCCTGACTTTCATTCTCAAACAGAAGTTAGCCTTTATATCTACACTGCAATGCATGTTATTTTAACATTTTAAGAAAACCTGGATTAATTTCCAGAGGTATTATTGATACTGGTTGCATCTGTAATCTAGAAGAGTATTTTTCCACCGCAGAAGTTTACAACAGCTTTAACAAACCACTCATCCAAACAGACAGGAGCTACTTTCCAGAAATGTCGCAGGCACATGAATTCCCCTCTCTCAGATGAGATCTCTTCACAAACTGACTAAAGGGGATTTCACCCTCTTCTTTCCCTTCTTAAATCCCCATAGGTACCAAGATGAAATCTGTTCTCAGACATAGCCTTGAGAAATTGTACTAAATCTTTGTGATTCTTAAAGATTCAGATCCAGTCCTTTTGGTGGAGCTAGATATTCAGGTGAAAACCACCTTGTATGTTGCACACGTATTTTCCATTCACAGCTTAGTTTAACATTCATCCTTAATTTTAGAACTGCTATTATACTTCTGCCTTCTCTTCTTTGATGATTATTTTTCTAGGTAATATCTCTCCTGATGGAACAGAAACTCTGATCTCAGGTTAAAGTCTCATTGCTCTGGGATAAGACAGTAAGTCCATAGCCTGTGCAATGTCAGAAACAACATGATTCTCTCCCTTTTTTTCCTTTAAATTAATGGTATGAGACACTACTTCTTTTCTTCCCTTCTTGTCTGCTTGCATGCCACACAGCTTTATTCACAATATTAGTGGGCAGATTTTTGTTTTCACTCCTTACTCTCCTCTCTTAAGAAAGAGTGGGAAGCTGTTCCTTTTGTTCCTTGGTTAACTAGAATTAAACTAATCAGGTTTATATGACCTCTGTTGTTTGGGTTAGAGCTGAAGAAGAGAGTAAGACTGAAAATGTGAATGTGAGAGCAGAAGTAGTTTTACACAGAATAAATTCAGTCACAATATAAGGACCAATTGCTGAGAAAGCCTACCTGTGTAGCCTGTGTGCTTCTACAGAATTCATAACCTGTATACTATATGTATGGATGCTAATATTAACATAAGCATAATATAGCATCACCTGTGGAAGCTTGCATCTTGTATAAAAGACTTCTCCGAGTTCTGCCTTTGCTATGAACACAACACATTCTGGGAAGCAAATTTTATTGCCATTTGTTCACATATTCATGCCTACTTTACTGTCTGGACTTATCTGTTGTAATCAGACCAAGGATAGTCAAACAATCGTGGACTTAACGTCAGTGAGGTGAGGCACAGGAATCTGAGAACTGACAGAACAGGATCCTCCCCTATGTATCCGTCTCAGCGCAGAAAGGCGTTGGCTTTTCTAGCCAGATGGCTGATCTATTGGTCTGCAGAGCTAAAACATTTTCCCATGTGCAAATATTTGCGCTTGACCAGAACAAAAGAAAAGCCA